TCTACTTTGAGAGTTGCAATAAAATATTCTTTGCAGAAATGAGTCAGAGGTCTGAACTCTAGGAGGTGACCTCCCAGACACATTTGGAAGAAGCTGGTCCTTTTCAGTTATCTTACAGATCACCTGTTTTGGATGCTTATGACCATGATTGCAAACACACGTGAACATCGTTTGGGTTAAACACAGGCTTTGTGCCAGCTGCATTCTTGGCTTCATGCACTGTTCAAGAATAGTGTTCAAAATGACATAAACCGCTCACGGGAAGTAGGATCTTGGAGTAACCACTTTAAGTTCTATTTGTTAATTATTGGTCAGGAACTGTGTTGCATGAAGAGGACATGATAAGAGCTGAATGAACAAAGATTATTTTGATCTACCATATAATAAAAAAGGATTAAAATTTTGTTTACTTCCTTGGATTCCAGACTCGAGCTTAAAACAATGAGTTTCAAGATCCTTTACTCACTTTCATGTTGTTGCAGTGCCTCTTTCAAATTCTCTGACAAGGTATCACAATATGGTGGTGATAGGACAGGGAGCAAAGAAAAAGATTCCTTCAACATCTGGCCCTGAGCTACACTGTCAAAATTCTAACCCCCACCAGCACTAAGGGAGCCTTCAGATGAAAATGCCCCTGCTGAGAGGCCTCCTTCTGTAAGTCATCAAATTGAAGTCATTATCCCAGAACAGGAAGAATACAATGATTTGCACATCTATGAGGGGATTGGAGGAGAATGCTAAAGAGCTTTGCATGTATTAAGCAGGTAAGCTCCTCTTACAGTAGTGCAAATTGAGGTGTGGAAGATTGAGTGAATTGGACCTGGAGCCAAATCCTGTGGATACCTAGTTGTTTAAAGATGCATCGAGGTTCCTACTTGCAATGCCATTGGATACCTAACTTGTCTTGATATGGATGATTATTCATACAATGGCCTTTTCTGAATCTTTAAACTGTTATGTAAAATTAAGGCCTTGGGTCATCCTGTGAAGATCTGAAGAACCTAAAGAATTTTTTTTTCTAATTTTCCTGTCCAAGATACTCTGCGATTTGTGTGTGTTGTTTCTCTTCCTGTGCTTTGGGATTTGTCCCATTGTTTAAATTTGACTTGTGGAGTATGTGGCCTGTCAAAAGGCATTGCCCAGTTTTTCCTGTTGGTTATCAATTACAAGTAATAAAGAGTAGTTTGGGATATGTGTAATTCTTAAATTGAGAGTGATTTTTTTTTTTAAATCACATTCTCCATTGACTTAAGCACATGGTTGGTTTTTCTTTTTTCTTTTTCTTTTTTTTTTTTTGTCCAAGTGCTTTGTTGAGGACAAGACTAAAAAATGTGCAGTTTATTATTTTTCCTCTTGTCATCTTTGAACCACCTCAGATGTTCCCCAAAGCTGTCACTTGCTCATAAGTGCAAGTAGGTGTTTGCTTACATTTGCCTTCTCTGTTCCAGCAGTTCTGCAAAAGCTACAGGTTGTCTTTCCCAAATAAAGCTGCTGTGTTAATAGTAAAGTACTACAAATGTTTCTTTGGATCTTTAGGTACCAGTAAAAAGCCTTGAAGGTCTAAAAAGTATCATAACGGCAGGCTTCTGTTTTTAAAGGCATGTACTGTCATTTGTTCTAGAGGCACGATGGAAGTGTATATTTGAAAATTTACATTTCCCTGTTCTAGAAATAGGAATTTCCAGGTAATGGAGCTCTGAATTGATAAGCAGTGAGATATGAAAAGGGGTATTACTGACATAAATCAATAACGTGATGTGTATGCTTAACAGATTTAATAGCAGTTAAATTACTTCAAGCTTTTATCCTGATTTAAATGGTGGTTTCATATTATATAGAGCCATAGTCCCTGGAAGTGGGACTTACAGGGATCCCTCTGGATAAGGATTTTCACTTATTTCAAGCTGTGCTACTAGTAGTGATATATATGGGAAGATACTCTACTTAAGGGTTTGGTAGGGTTTTTTCTTACTAATTTTTCTCAGATGAGCCTTCCGTGCCTTCAGCTTTCCTGAAAACAGTCTTTATTCAAATGTAGAAATACAGGTTTAGCTACATTATTTTCACTATTGTATTGAAAAAACCTCAGCCTGATTTCATAAGGTATGCAGAGAACTGGATTTTCAGTGTTCTGGCTACTCCACTGTCACCTGTGTTGCACCTGTATGGCATGATTTCTTAACTGGATGAGAAACTGTGTGCACATAATACTTGTTGAAGGCACAGCTTTCTAGATCCAGTCTGTGCTTGCAGCAAGAGAGGTTGGCAACCTCTCCAGGACTGCATCAGGAACCAGCACACCCTCTCATGAGACAGTCCTCCCTGAACTTCTCAAACAGGAGTCCTTCTCACAGGCTGTAGTTCTTCACAAACTGCTCCAGCCTGGATCCCTCCCATGGGTACAATCCTTGAGGAACAGACTGTTTCAGTGTGGCTCTCCTACACATCCCAAGTCCCACCATGAGCCTGCTCCAGCGTGGACTTCCCACTGGGTCACAGCATTCTTCAAGTATCTACCTGCTCTGGTGTGGGGTCCTCCATGGGATGCAGGTGTCTTCCTGCTCCACCATGGACCTTCTTGGGCTGCAGGGACACAGCTGCCTCGCCTTGGTCTGCACCACGGTCTGCATGGGAATGAATCTGCTCCAACATCTGGAGTACCTCATTCTTGTTCACTAATCTGGGTGTCTGCACAACTGTTCCTCTCACATAGTCTTTGGCTGTAATTGCTGTTGCACAGAGGTTTTTCCCCCACTACTAATAAATTATCCCAGAGGTGCTGGTACCGTCACTGATGGGCTCGGCCTTGGCCAGTGGCAGATCTGTCTTGGAGCCAGCTGGCATTGTCTCTGTCACATCTGTGGGAAGCCTCTGGCATTTTCTCACAGAAGCCACCCCTGTAACATCTCTACTACCTAAACCTGGCCATGCAAACCCAATACGGTTCCCCAGTCCCCCTTCCAACCTTACCTGTTTGTCGTCGTGTATAATGAGAGTGGTTGATAGAAATAATAGATCCAAGGTGAATTTGTGTAGGAACAGCACAAAATAGGGCTTGGAGAAGGAATATGAACAGCAATAAAGCTGGAATGCAGATGTGGTAAATGGATTATGGAGAAGAAAAGGACATAATTGATGAGTTGCTGGTGCAACTGTTACAAGTAAAGGAGCTCCAGTTAGTACAGAAGAGCATCTCAGAAATTCTAACGGTGAGCTTTTTATTGCAAGCCTGAGAAGGCTTGTAGCAGCAAGGACTGTAGCCTCTGCTTGTAGGGGTCCAAACTACTGCTGGAATTTGCTGACCTCTCTCTGGTGTTTCTCTGCCCTGGTAATTGATCAAAGGTGTATCGTAACCTTAAGAAATAAGTTGGCCAGCAGCTAAAAACTGGAGTGTGTTTTTACACACTGGTAATACTTTATCAAATAGATATTGAGTGCTCATCTGTTGCTTTTAGGAGTTAGTAGGAGCTGTGGTTGCCTCTGGGCAAGTAGTACTGCTGGAGAAGCATTAATATGCTCCAGGCTTTAATTGCTCTTACTTGAAAGTCTTTGCAGCTTTTGGCATTGGAGTGTGTGGATGGGTGTTGGGTATTGATTTCTGGGGCTTGTTTGGGTTTTGGAGTATTTCTTTAAATTGATACGTGGCTGATTGTTACCACCTCAAAAGTTGATTTAATTCTACCTTTTTCTTTCTGAAGGGAAATGTGCTTACATCTGGTTCTGTGTCTGGTTTCAAGAAGTTGTACCAAGAAACAGAAGAGACTGATGTCTCCTCTGCACACTGCCATGGCTGTAACATGCTGCCTGAAGAACAGCTGGCAAAGGATGCTTCCTAGCTTGCTTTTCCAGGATTTTCACCTGGAGTTGACAACTGAATTCATCTTTTAGGAACAAGAGCTGTGTAGTCCCCAGCTCTCTGAGCAACCTTCGGCATTTGTCTTTGTTTCAGCCAATGAGGGCACTCTTGGAACTAGGGCATCTCCAGCTTGGTAATGATAGTTCGTTGTTTGAAATATTTGTTACCCTGCATTTGCCTTACAGAGATGATACCAGGTGAAAAAGTTCTTAAATGACTTGTTGAGTTTGCTTCCAGCCCCGGCCGCCTCGTCCCGCTCCCGGGCAGGGGTGGCCGGTGGCCGCTCGGAGCTGGGAAGCGCTGCGGCGGCAGCGGGTTCTCCCGTCCCGGGCTTCAAGCTCCGCGATGGGGGCGCAGCCCGTGCCCCCGTGGGAGGCCCGGGGTGGAGCCGGTGCCCGCGGAGGAGCCGGCCCGGCAGTGCGGGGCCCGGGGTGAGGGGAGCGGCCGGGCGCTCTCACACCCCGCACCGGGGCTGCTCTGGTTCTGCGCTTCTCCCCTCGCACCGCATCGCGGTTCCGTTCCGTGCTCGGTGTTCGCCAGCGCGCGTACCGAGCCTGAAGTGCTGTCGTGCCGAACCCCGAGAGGTGCCAAGCCCTGCCGGTCTGTAACAGCCGCCCGGGGCCGCCGCCGGCTCCGCAGCAGGTCGTGTAGCATCTGCTGACGAGTTTGAACTCACTGTCTGCTCTTAGTGTTATTGGAAAGCAACTGGCTCCTCGGGATTCCTTGCCTAATCAGAGGTGTTACCTCCTCCTCTTCCCCCAGTGTCTCTTGACATCATTTCATCCATCAGACTTTCAGAGGAAAAAAAACACCAACCAAAGCAGAACCCACCCAGTCCGAGAGCAGCCCACACCAGCCCCTCAGTTTTGCCGTGACTGCAGGGAAGAGCTGGATCGGGGCAAAGATGAAGGATAGGAGCGGGGCTGAACTCCACGTCCTGAAGGGTTTGATGCAGGGCGAACCGAGAGGAATCCAGAGCGATGCACCGACCGGCATCTCCCGTACTCCGGGAAGGGATCAGTAAGGCCAGGGGCCGCGTGTGGGGATGCGAAGGCGCTTGACCCACGGGAAAGAAGTAGCCCTCGAGGTGCGTTTGCCCCTGCTCGTAATTGTTTCTCCATGGGATTTCTTCTGCCCCCCGCGATTGACCTGATGTGGACCGAAGCGTTTCTAACATGAACTTTCTCCCTGGTATCTGGTGGTCTCTTCCCTTGGTCTTGATCTGGGCGACCCCACCAGTCACCTCTTCATGGTGGTAAGCTGTGCAATTCCAGGAATTTTTATTTGCTCTTGGGGAAGGTGGGGTCGGATTAATTGTGAACTGAGGGGGGGGGGGTGCGGGGTGGGGAGGAAAGCCTCTCCCTCTCAGGCTCTGACAAGCGGAGCTCGCTGCTGCCAGCTGCTCCGGTCCACAAAGTCCGGCCTTAAAGAGAGCGGGATTAGACGGTCCCGGCATCTCCTTCCACACCCCGTCCCCGCACCCCGACCTCCTCCTCCGCATAAGCACAACGCAGCACCGGGGGCTGCCCAGGACTTTCGACAGGGCTGCGGGTGCGGGGGGACCCGGCGGGGGCAGCGGGCACCGCCCGGGCGGCGGGGCCGCCGAGGGAGCGAGAGGAAGGCAGGGAGGCGGGCGGGGAACACGCCCGAGGGGCGCGGGTGAAGCGCTGCTCCTGGCAACCGGCCCTCCGCGCCCCGGCGGTGCTGGGAATTGGCTACAGCAGCGCTATTTTTTTATTATTAATTTATTTTTTGCTTCTTCCTCGCCCTGCCTAGTCCCTCCCTCCTGCACGGTTTCTCCTCGCTAAACTGCAAGGGCATAGGGCTGAGAGCCCTGCGGTCCCAGCTTCAAGTGATAGTTTGTGTCGGTAGCTTGCTGTTCAACGGGTTTGAATGAAAACACACTGCTCCTCAAACTGGGGACCCCAGCCAAGGCTAGCCTGAAAAGTCTTGGTATAGGAGAGGAGTTAAACCCCTTCTTGTAAACCTGGGGAACACATTTAACCTTGAAACCGGCTGACACGGGATCAAAGCCTGATTTATTAGATTGAGCATGTTTCAGTAAAATGACTATCTATGTCCTTAGCCGTATAAATGTTATTTATTGCCATGTCTTTTTGTCATGGTGTCTTCTAGCTGCCACTTAAATATATATATACTTGGAAGTCACGGCTTTAACGATTTTATGGTCGTATAAAATAATGAAAATGTAAGAAAATGACATTTTCTTCTGTTTGATCCCTTCAAAAGACACCTACAAAAGTTTGGGTTTTATGAAAGGTACCTTTCGAAACGTTTCAGGACTAATAGAGACCATCTGGATACAGATGATGTAATTTAATTTTTGTCAAGGTTTTGTTTTTTTTTTTTTTTTTTTTTTTAAGTACTGCACGAAGCTGCAACAGCGGGGCTTGGGGTTCTCCTGAATGCTTCACGTTATTAAAAAAAACACAGCATCGGTGACTAATGGTAAAGGATTTCCACCAGAAAGGCAGAGGTAGCTGCAGCTCTGGACCCGCCTGAGGAAGGCTCCGGGGCGCTGAGGACCCTCCTTCCCCTGGAGTCGGTGCCCGGGGGTCGCCGCAGGCCCCCGGCGCTGCCCTGCCCCTTCCCTCCCGCAGGTACATGGGCGCCGTGGGCTCGTCGCGAGTGATGTGCGACAACGTGCCGGGGCTGGTGAGCCGGCAGCGGCAGCTGTGCCGGCGGCACCCCGAGGCCATGCTCTCCATCGGCCGCGGCGTGGCCGCCTGGACGGCGGAGTGCCAGCACCAGTTCCGCCGGCACCGCTGGGACTGCAACGCCCTGGAGCGGGGGCAGCGCCTCCTCGGCCGCGTCCTGCTGCGCAGTGAGTCCCGGGGCCGGGGGCCGGGAGGGGCGCGGAGCCCCCACGCCTACAGGCTGAGAGTAAACGGGGCTTTAGAGGGTCGGCGTGAGGGTATTAGCGTTCCACACAAGGGTACCAGGGGTCATGTGGGCTGGCACTGCCCGGGCAGCGATGCGGAACAACGGGAAGCGGTGGCCATCCCCCTGCTATCCTTGTTCTTAGCAACGATGAAGCTTCGTTTTACATTTCAGGAGGAAGGGAAGGGGACACTTGAAAGAACGGAATAACGCAAAGTGCTGCACTGCTTTAAAACGTGTATCAAATAAAAAAGAAAAGGGAGTTGGGGGGGGGGGGATGTTGACACATTAAGGGCTGGCTCTGTAGTTCCCAACTTTTTCTTGGTGCATAATGGACCACAAATTGAAGGCTACAGGGAAACCGATGTGGCAGAATAGTGAGCAGGACAAAGAACTTTCCATCATAGCCCAAACTCGGGATACCAGTACTGGCGGTGGGGCGGACTGAAAGGGGCAGCTCAGGTGCCAACAGGAGCCCAGTGCGTTGGGATGGCAGACAACAACCCCTTCTGCAGGCCGGTTCCCTCTGGAGCTTTTTGCCTGGAAAGCACAGCAGCAGGGTACAATCCCTCCAGGGATGTGAGGCTGGGACCTGCTTCCCACTTTGAGGGAGGATGGTTAAGCAGGGGGCATGTTGTCATATAAATGTTGGGCTGAGGCATCTAGTGAGTCTTCAAAGCCTTTTATGTGGTCCTTTTGACTCAAAGAAATGGCTGAGATCTGTTACTGTGACAGAATGTCCTTACCTGAGTGATAAATTCTTGGAAACTGTGGCTTTTTTCACCAAATACCACATCTGGGCCCAGAGCTGTGGTGCACAGCCAGTGGGGCTGACCCTGAACTGGCACTTGAGTCTCTGGGATGTCCCCAGCACCATTCCAGACAGCCTCTCCAGGCTGTGAGCACCATACTGCCTGCAAGAAGAGGAAGAGGAAAGTCCCCAGGGGCCATTGCCCTACTGGTGGGAATGGAGAGGAGGATTGGAGACACTGGACATGCTGGCCTAAGCAGTGGGATTTCATCCGCAGAGCATCATTTGGTGCCCAGTTCTGCTGCTGGTGAGCAGTTGGTTCCTGTAACCAGCTTCATGTTCCCTTAGCAATTATTTGTGAGTAACCAGTAACCTCACCCATAGGCTGAAGTTTTCTGTGAGGTTTGTCTGTTATTCAGGAAAACATGTTTGGCAGAACATGGCCTAATTCTGACGAGGCTGCTTAATAAAAAAAGTAAAAATGCAGTTTTTCCTAAAGAGAAGTTTTCACTGCTGGCTCATGTGAGAGAATGACAGCGCATGAGGCTTCTGAGCTCTACACTGAGCCTGGTCAGGCTGTGATTGCCATGGAAATGTAGCTTGATAGTGATCTAATAAAATTAAATGGTTTGGATTATTTAAATAAATTCAAATGAAACATTTATCTTCTAATGATACCAAGTGTTTCATTAATACTTTAATTAATTAAATTTGTTTTTTAATTAACACTTTACAAAGTTTTGATATCTCTGAATAACCTGTCTCAGAAATAAGTCTTCAAAGGAGCATGATTTGTAACAAGCCATGGTATCTTCTGCCTGATTTCAAAGGCAGTGTAGGAAAGGCATGGTTTGTCCAGTCCTTTTGAAAGCTTTGAGTTGCCATTTGCTGAAGGTTTACACAGCACAGGGAAGTTCAGGGCCCATTCCTATTTGAAACATTTAGATGCTACTGGAACTGAAATACTAAATAATAAGTTATATGGTGTAACACTGCCTCTACAATAAAAAAAACAGATAACATTTGTCTTTGGGGTCCTACTTTACTGTGCTAATATTATTTGAGGCTTACAAGTTCTTCAAACAGGTCTTTCTCACTGCTAGTGGTCTTAAATACTGCGCAAAAATCTATTTCTCTTTCTATGCTAGAAAACTCAAAAAGTAGGAAAATATTCCATTACCATAAATAGATTTGTGCCAGTATAATATAGCTCTGCATTGTAAAGTACTGTATCTTAAAAACAGTTATTACCTTGAAATATATACCTAATAGCCTATGAGAAGGCAAAGTCTAGAAATTTCTTTGGTATAATAAAGTATCTTGGTTAGGAGAAGGGAAAGTTGCCAGAGCAGCTGGCATGAAGAAGTCACGGCTGCCAGGCCAAATCTTGCCTCAAGCATGACACAAGCAGTGCCATTGATTTAATGGAACTTGTTTGTGTCAATTATGGTTATGGGCTTGGTTCTAGGCAGAAAACCTAATTTTAGCTTATTTTCAGGAAATAACACCCAAGTTTTCTCCCTACCACCTTTTAAGCAAGAAAGTCTATTTTGAGTGCTCTGGAAGAGGAAAATCTAGTTTCGAGAGTTATTTGCAGTATTTTGCAATGTACATGTTGTTTTAGTGTCCCTACTTAATAATTTCTTAAAGTTATCTCTCAAATCGCCCTTCATATATTTTTATAAATCGGTGAAACATGATAGGAATACCAGCTGTCCTATTCAAGTGTCTGTACAGAACAACTGATCCATGAAAGTATATTAATCAATATCAGAAGCAAATGTTTAATATTTTCCAACTCTAACACTATATTGATGAGCTTTCACCAGGGAGGGGTCCTAGTTTAAGCCATGACTAATTCTGGCTCCAGGGAATGTGTGTTTGTGTGATTTCAGCCTAGTTTTATCTTTTGCTCTGCAAAAAAGTCCAGGCTAACTCTCTGGGCAGCCCCTCAAACTAGCTACACCAGTGATTTTTAAAGTGACTTCTTTTATTTCAGGTAGTCGGGAATCTGCTTTTGTGCATGCCATTTCCTCCGCTGGAGTTGTTTTTGCCCTCACCAGGGCATGTAGCCAAGGGGAGCTGAAATCTTGCTCCTGCGATCCCAAGAAGAAAGGCTCTGCCAAGGACAGCAAGGGCCATTTTGACTGGGGTGGTTGCAGCGATAACATCGACTATGGCATTAAATTTGCCAGAGCCTTTGTGGACGCCAAAGAACGGAAAGGAAAAGATGCAAGGGCACTGATGAACCTTCACAACAACAGAGCTGGAAGGAAGGTGGGTGTCCATCCAACAGATAGATGTTCTCGGAGAACTCTTATGTGTCTGGGACAGGTAATGGTTAGCTCTTGCTGTCTGGTCTCAGCAGTTAGGAAGAAATATAGGATGAGCAGAAGCCTGAGCTGCTGTTTCTATCTCCCTTGAGGGTTCAGTGTGTGACAAAGTCAAACAGAACTGAATTCAACTGATTAATAGTCAGAGTAAGTTCAGTGGCTCCTTGTGTGGGAAGTTAAGCAGGAGTCCAAGTCATTGCAGGATCAGTTCAGACGGAAGTTTCATTTTGAGCTTAATTCTTATATAAGGCAAAGTTTTACTTTTGGTTAATACAGAATAGAAATTCCCGAAGACCACACTGAAGAACAGGCTTGACTTTAAAGAGCAAATTCAAACTAACACTAAAGGAAAAAAAAATCATGTCTGTATGTACATGGTAGACCTACTTACAAAGTGAGCAGACATAAATGGCAGTTGCTTTACTTTTCAAGAAAACAAATCCAAACTACATGTTTGGTGTTGACCTGCCCTAAACAAACGCCTTTTCTAAACACTATATGAGAATATCACTCCTGAATTTCAACATAAAATCTTTACTTTTACATTGTAAAAGTAGTTGCCCACTATATAGTAGTAGTATATTACCCACTACTGGTTCAAGGGCTGAGGAATTTGTGCATTAACATTTTGTGATGGTACCTATAAATAGTAAGAATAGTGCATGAAACTGGAATACGTTGTTTCATTATTTAAAACATTCAAAATTTACTGCTTCCACAAAATCTGAAATGATAAAAAAAAAAAAAAGTTTTATTGTGTTAGACCAAGCACTTCTGAAATTACTTGTAGAGACTTCCTGTTTCTTACCTTTGGTTTTCCTTAAGGTATATTCAGTAAGAAGTAAATGGATCATGTTCTGATCTTTTTGTGTTAAAAAGTTCCCTTTATATAATGTGTAAAATTATTTTGTATTAACTACCCATTATTAAAAGAAATGATCCAATTTTAATGAATGGTACTGCAAGTAGATGATTTTCCTGATAAATATTTGTCCTTTACCATCTTTCCTCCACCTGTTTATTGCCAGCAGGTGTAATTAAGATGTAATATAGACTGGTGAGGCTATTCAGATCAGTGATACGCACATGCAGTACTGTGGCTGTGTTTATGTTACTGTCTGAAAGAGACTACAGTGTACAAGAGAAGCAAAGAATTTTTAGGGGTGAATAAGTTCCATGATGAGAAGTACTTTCTGTAATAGTTGGCCATCTTAGTAAGTTTTAAAAAATACCTCTACCAAATACTAAAGAAGTACTGGTAAGCAGGTAGATTTTTAGAAAAAGATCAAGAGATTTTAATAAATATATTCTATTGAAAATAATGAACATGCTCTCATATGCCTTAGGACCTGCCTCATGGACAGGGATGCTGTTTTGTATCCAAATTGCAATAGTGTAGGTTTAGCTTTGCAGGGATCTCACCACCTCAGCTCCCCATAAGCCTGGCATTTGGGCCTCGGTAAAACCATCTGTTCCCTTGGCTTTTTCTTGCCCCCAGAGGGCTGTCAGTAAGTTTCTTTTAAAACTAGACTATTCCAATTGTATTAATTACAAAAGAAGTAGAATAAATATTTATTATATTTCCGTATGAATCACGGAACATAACATGATGTGTATCAGTATAGGAACATCACTGACAAAAAAAGAGACCTGCATTCCTACATGCTTCTTCCACTCTTCCAGCAAGTTGTTTTAAACATACAAGTAGTTAAACTGATTTGTGCTCAGATAATTAAAACCAAACATCTGCATAAATCACAGATTTGTGACAGTATCATGGTCAATGAAGTGGGCCTGTGGGAATGCAAGTTACTTCTTCAAAGTAGTCCTATCATTTACAAGTGGAAAAGAAAATTAAAAGTACTTTGGTTTTATAATACATTCTCTCTTTATTACTAAGTGCTTGACTGAAAAATGCTGCTCCGCTGTGCATCAATCTCACTTCTAATCATAGAGCTTTTCTCTCTCTTACCTTCCTCCCATGGTGCCGTCCCTCTTGTACAAATGCTAAAATGTTCATATTTCATGAACACTTAAGGCATAATATTTATAGATCAAATATCCATATCTTCAGAATTATAAATGAAGTATTTATTGCCTATGAAGCCATCTGTTGTTCTCCAACATCATTCAGATAGCCTAAATGTCTGCGGTGAAGCTGACACGGCTTTAATGCTATCAAAATGTTAAATAAATGATGAAGGTGATTTCTCCAGTGCAAGCTAATGAAGGTCTTATTCTAAAATGTTTGTTAAAAGGTTTATAAGCCTTTCAAGTATACTGTATTTTAAAATTTTGCATAGATCTGATGCCCAGCACAGGTATGATGTTTTGTATAGCCTCAGTAAAATCATTTAAATATGAGATGCCTGTGAATTCCTGGACAATGCTTGAAAAACGCTGTTCAAGGCAAAGGGCAACTTCATGAAGACCAGCCAGAGAGGGTCAGCACAGTGATGCTGCAGCTGGAACGAGGGGGAAAGGGAGTGCCTTCACCTTCCAAGGGGTTGAATGATTCTGTCCGTTTCCCAGATCGTTTCCTCCTGCCCAGTCTGTGTGTGTGTCCTAGCGCTATGGACCACCTCGATCCTCGGGATGACTGGCAGGAGCGGGAAGGTAAGCCCACCAGCCGGAGGATTGTGTGTACGGTTGAGTCAAGCAACCAGAGCAGGCCAACCATGTGGGTTGGTGCTTGATGCTACCAGTGGGTGTCACTACAGACCATAACATGGAGACTCATCGCAGGCCTGGCATTACAGGAGGGATGGAAAAGGGCTGAAAAGCAATCAATTGTAGTTTGTTTTACCTGTGTATATTTTACTGCATTTCTAAACAGGCCGTGAAGCGGTTTTTGAAACAAGAGTGCAAATGTCATGGTGTGAGCGGATCCTGCACTCTAAGGACGTGTTGGCTGGCCATGGCAGACTTTAGGAAAACAGGAGATTATCTGTGGAAGAAATACAATGGAGCAATTCAGGTGGTCATGAATCAAGATGGCACGGGTTTCACTGTGGCTAATAAGAAATTTAAGAAGCCAACTAAGAATGACCTGGTATACTTTGAAAGCTCTCCAGACTACTGTATCAGGGACAGGGATGTAGGTAAGCCTCTATCATCACATGTGAATGATTTTATTTCAGACATTTGTAATTCAAAGGTCAAAAATTATCATTATTATTGAATGTGTGTGTGTATGTGTGTGTGTGTGTGTGTGTGTGTGTGTGTGTGTGTGTGTAAATCCATGCATGTAACCAGCTAGAAAAAGGCAGGAAGATGTTTTGGAAGGACAGCTCTGTAGAAGAACAATAGTTTATCCATGTCTCTAGATCTGCAACAGCCAGTTGTTCTAATATAATTCAGCAGTTTCTGCCAGATGCTATGGAGCCCTGGAGATGCTCTAAGGCAAAGGTGGCTTTCAGCCACTTTCTGTTTGAGTTATGCTCTGGAGGCAGGTCCATACTGTGCAGAACCACCTACACCTTGTGTCACACAGCTCACTCCAGAGCTGCTCCAAGTCCCGTGATGTCCCTGTGGTACAACCTCCTGTCACATTGCTTGTCTTCCACGTTGTTATGCTACTGCTGCAGTGCCCTCCTTTATCTGCACACTCCCCGCAGCTCACTGTGGCCATGGCTCCCCTGGTTGTAGACACATCTCTCTCCAAGCGGCAGGTACAGCCCTTTGGTGCCAACCCAGCCATGCTTGCACCGGCCAGGGCAGCTGTGGGTAACAGGGAGTGAGGCAGCTGGAGGATGTGCAGGTGGGTGAAAGAACAGAGGTCAGTGGGACACCATGTTGAGTGATGCTGCAGTTTGTTCCTCCTTACGGGTGTTGGCCTTGTTCATGGCAACCACTGCATTCTCCGAAGAGTTGTGCCAGCTCCTGTGGGAAGAAATAAAGTTTACCACTGAATTTCCTGCTTTCAAAGAGTCAATAGAGACACACTTAGCAGTGTTCCAGGATTCAAGGCATTGCCAAGCACCAGGAATCCTGCTAACAGTTCTTGACCCATGTATAGTATTTCCTGATGCGGCAATTAAAAACTAGCAACTACAAAACCAGAAACTGGGAAAAGAGAGCCAGACTGAGTAATGTATGAGAGATGTTGTGGAACTAATTAATAGGTTGTATAACAGACCAGATTGCGCCCCATATGACATATCTGTAAGTATCTGGATAGCAGTGCAGCTCAACTCTTTTTGGCACTGCTGCATATTTACAATCCAAGTTTGCTTGGAATAAACATTGCAGAACAACTGTACCTAAATAAGAACAATATGTGAATTCCTGGTCATGTACTGTTGACTTCAATGAACCCAGAATTTCATCCAGTATGCTTACATTGTACAGTGTTTCTGGTTAGTTGAGTAGTCAATGTAATTTTAGATGTTATTTATGGTTTTGGCAGGTGATGTTTATTACCTGCACAAGAACATATTCTTCCTTGAATAGTGGCTGATACAATGAAGTCTAATACTTCAACACAAGTGAATAAATAGGCATGTTGCGGCATTATGCAGAGACCAGCTTTACAGACTAGGATTTTTTCAAAACATTTCTTTCTTGATGTTGCTTCATCCATTGTAAAATGTATGATTTCTTTTCTCCTGGAAGGAGAACCTGTACACAACCCAATTCTGTGTCAAAAAGCAATTTAATAATCTCTTTGTATTAAACCTAATCTCATCTGTCAGTCTTGCATTTTTCACTGCAATGTATTATGTGCATTTGCCAGACATTGACAAGCCTACCCAGAGATGGCGAAGTCTGACATGTGCTTTGGCCCCGTTCAAGATAAGGCTGCGGTTGAGGCAGCATTTCTTTGCTGCCCAGAATTCAGAGAATGTGGCTGTTTGGAAGAGCATATTTTTAGCAAACTGCAGAAAACTTTTGGTGGGATATGGGGTGCCCTGCTGCTTGTGTGGAGCAAAGGAAGAATCACACAAATAAAACCTGATCTGGCTTTGAGAGAGATGATTTTTGGCAACTGAACATTTTTTCATTTTTTGTATTTGCCCTAGAAGGAAAAGGGAAGTAATTGATTTCAGGAGAGATATAATATGTGGAAATCACTAATAGCAGTTCAATAGAGAATACAATAACATGACCACGTTTTTTCTCACATTAAGATTTCAGGAAGGACCCAAGGAAGATTTTCAGAAGTGTTCAGAATTCATTTAACTATGCTCACATAACTCTGCAGAAATAATTTTTGCTCACAATTTTGTACTCAAAATTTGATAAAAACAGAGGTAGGGCATCCCAGAGAGCTTTGAAAAATCTTACCATGAACATAGAAATTTTGCCACTCTTCCTTATATTATCATAAATTTTCAGCCCCCAAACCCAGGACTGCCTAGGGAAAGACCTGGTATGAATGATAGAGCTGCAACAAGAACTAAAGTGACAGCTGCACAAGTGGCAGTCCCACTGTCACATGTATTACCTTACTCTGAATGCATTACTTCACCTACAAAATGCTTTAAAAACCCCTCTTGCTTGTCTGCTTTTATAAGCCTCTATTTGAAGTATTTTAAGTTTTGAAAGGTTGCTATTTGCCCATCCGTGCAGGCTAGGTTGATTGAAAGCTGTTGCCAGCTTATTTGGAACACACTGGTGGACAAGCAGAGACTGCTTTAGGAACAAGCACATGAGCAGCTGTAGCCTGCTGGCCAAGCCTTTGTTAGAGCCTGTTATTCATGTACACTACTAAAGCAGAGTAACACCTGCCTGCTAAAGAAACTGTTTTAGAACTGATTTATTAAAATTCATTTGTAGAGAGCAATCAGAAAACTCTAGGCAGTATTTGAGTGAAGATTCCTTCTGCAGGGAGACCCCCACCAAAGCGAGCCAGCTGAGCTCAGCTAAGCGTGTTGAAGTAACGCATATGAGCAGGGAGGTTGTGTGGGCAGGTGGTGGGCAAAGGCAGGATGGGGTAGGTGAGCATGTGTTGATTGTTCATATCTGTTCTGGTAGCAGTGAGGCTACCAGAGGTATCCTGGAGGTGGTGGTGGAGCAGAGGCAGGGCATATCTATGCACAGATAATCTTGAGCTGCTGCAGCAGTCCTTCAGGACCTGTTGCAAATCCATGTGCCATGTGCTTCAAGTCATCCCTAGGTTTCTCCCAATGCTCACATGGTCCCAGTTTGAGTACTGTCGACACCAGTGTCGCTGCCTCTCCCTGTACTTGGGCCTGGGATTGCATACCTGGACTACAGTGCCCATCTCCTGTGTCCCCAACAGGCAGACAGGGTGCTGCAGCTGTGTTTGAGGACCCTCCTCATCTGGTCTCCTCGTGGAAAGCCCTGTGGAGAGGCATGTGGAATGCTACAGGCACCCCTCTGTGTTGGTTGACAAATCACGTGGTCAGGGTGATCTGCTTTGAGTCCTTCACAGGATTGCTTTTGTGTTAATTTATTCCCCTTGCTGCCCCACGTCAGCCATTTGCTGCATTTTTTGAGGTAACTGAGGCCAAGTCCAGAGTGTAACCTGGAATTTAAAGTGTAGCCTGTGAGTCCTGGTGTTGCACAAGATGTGTTAGTGCTTGAGGTATGTAACCCATGGAGGGAAACCAATCCTGATCTGTGTCAAAAACTTCTCACTGAGGTTGGCTGCGTACAGGCAGTCCCGGTGCGACTTCTTGGCCTGTACCTTCCAATCTGAGCATTGCAAACACGTTGGGTGTTCCAGCCCTGTGCAGGCTGATGGTGGAACTTGCGATGACTTCCATTAGGGCAGCTCCCCTCCAAGCACTATCTGGCAAGGGAGCAGCGCCATCACCCCGAGAGCCTCTGGGAGCTGAGAGGTTATGAAGGCTCTCAGTGGTTATGGAAATTAGAATGAAATACATATTTCCTCGAAACTGAATCTGGATAAGCTGTTTTTGTCAACACATCGTCGTCTCTTCATTGCTGGCCTCGGAAATCCCAGCCTCTCCTACCTCCAATCTGTGCTGCCTGTTCTCTCCAGCCCCTCTATGCTGGGTGTTCTACATAGGTTCCAGTAGCTTTAGAGATATTTTTTTGTGAATATTTCCTTTAATTTTTTTTCCACAAAACATGAGTGAGGACAATATTGCTGGAGATTGGGGTTTTTTTAGGTGGAAGTCAAATAATGAATGTTATCTAATCAGTAGAAGGGAAAAGATCACGTTATAAAGGAATAAATACATTTTAGAACTTTAAGAATGGGGAAAAATATTTTTCAACTTAGTTTATGTTTGCTTAAGAAAACAGCTATGCAAACCAAGAAGAAAGGGTTTGATGTACAGACCGTAAAGTCAGCAGTATTAAAAACTGTGGATGTTTTGCCAACATAATGTTGTGTGTAGGCATGGCAATTCCAACACTTGAAATGAAAACAAAGAGATTGCATGAAAACTTTTTACAAGTTAGAACATACTTCTGCCTCTTAAGTGCCGAGGAGGTGCATCACAGGTAGCTGGCAAAGATCAGAAAACTCTGCCTTGTTTTGTGCAGTGTCCTCTGCTGTCTTCATTACCCAGGGGCCTGTCAAGAAGTGCAGTAACTTGTGTGGCTCCTTGCTGCTGACTGTTGCTCATTTTCTTTCTCACTAGAGAAGCCACAGAGATGCTGAAGGCACTGTTTATACTGTAAAAAAAAATGGTAATTTTGCCTGGAAACGAAGCCTTTATATTAGCCTGTTTTCAATTTTGTCACAATCTGTGGATCATTTAGTCTCCTGTCCTAGCAGTGTAGTAAATGTTGATGTTGTGTTGTGTTGTGGGCAGCATCAGATGTTAGCAGCTTCTGACTGTTAGCAGCTGAAATAATTTTGATTTTGAAGTTGGTGGCAAAACTCCTGTTGAAAGCAACGGGTGCATTCTGCTTGGGTTCTTCTTCATTGCTGTGTGGTTTTCCCACACATCTGCAAGTAAGAACTTTGGAGCTGGAAACTACCCTGTGGCTCAGCTGAGGCCACTTGGCACCTTTGAGGCTCCAGAGCCCTGAGCCAGGGCTGGTGCCTCAGCCTTTGGCAGCAGCTGGTGAGTGGCTCCTGGGCTCGGGTGGCCGTGGGTGCCTGCTGAGCCTGGGGCAGGTGGCCACACAATGCCCTCCTGCTCTGCCTGCAGCAGACCTCAACCAACCATTTGTTATTGAAGCTTTCCAGGTGTATATTTCAACCTAATGAATATTTAAGTATTTAAATAAATACGGGAATCTAGGCTATGCAAGAGAAGTCTGAGGTGTGTTCTAGGGACTGAAACACTTCTCTGGGGCAGCAGCTGAAGCCTGTCCTGACTTAGTTGCAAAAAGAGCAGAATTTCTGTCCCTGTGCCTGAGAGACTGAATCGTGTATCAGTTCCATGAAAAATCCCAGTCTGAGGTGACTTTGCTCCAGTCCCTGAGACCCCTCATTGCATCAGTGCCTTGGGGCCAGCCCTGAAATAACATGAAGTCTCCCTGGTGCTGGGAGCAGCAGGGGATGGAGGGACAGTGAATTCTTATATGTTATGAACTGCTTTGAGATAGCAGTGTCAGTATATACAACCATAAGTATACTATAGGCGAAAAATAAAGAAAATTAGAATTTATGCACCTTAGATTTTTAATAATCACAGATCAATTACAGCTTAAGTTTTATTAATTTATTTGCTTGCTATCCTAACCTATGCAAATTTGAATTAATGTCCGCATATACTTTTTTTCTTTAAGAAGGTTTGTTCATGTTTAGTGTCCACCTATGAATACATGTCATAGGTTTGCCATGAATTTTCATGAAGTTTTCAGATTGATGGTAATAATCTGTCAAGAGCTGTGGTATTGATCCTAAAATGTACCTTAGGATCAGCTTGTTTTAGATGAGCAGCAGCCCCTATGTGGTACAGTTGCTGTTCAGGCTAAGACAGGTCTTACAGAGCTGTTTTGTGCCATGTGGAGATGGGCAGAGGCATTTCAGCCACTCCTGAGAGTTTCAAGAACATGCTGAGGTGTGGTATGCTTCTTACCCCTCCTTCTTTCTTCAGCAGGCTATAATTTAGTTTCTTCTGAACTCTATCATAAAAGAGGAGGAGAACCCTTGGTGTTACCCCACAGTGATGAGAGACACACAGAGCAGCCATTCTTCAATTGCAACCTGAACTGGTGGACATGGGGACCATGGACGGACAGAGTGGTGCTTCTGCAGCCACTTCTGCAAGACTTGAATCACTGGCAGCACAGTTACTTTGGCCCCTTGCAGCCACCAAATTTTGTGGTCTCCTATTTTCCAGCCCTCCCCTGCCCACCCAGAGCTCCCCAACAAAGGCAATGAGATTCTGAGCTTCACAGGGATGCTCCTCTTGGGCACCCCATTTCACACAGCCCTGGGAGACTGGGCACAGGGAGCAGGAGGAGGCTGCACAACTGCCTCAGGGAGGGTGTCTGTTCTCTGGAAAGGAAGAAGGTGCTAGGGAAACATAAAGCAAAGCATGATGATATTAAGAGAATCAGGCAGAGCCTTGAAGTATTTGGTTCATTTTACTCCTCCTCATCTCCAGACCTGATTTCTAGAGGAAAATTGAGAGCAATTTTAACTAATTATAGGCATTTCTCTGGCTTGATGTTGAATCCTGGGTAATGTTATGCTGAAGGATCAAATGAATTGTGAATTATGTCTCCTATACCTATTTTCATATGCTTTCTGCCCTTCCTTAAAATCTGCCTCCTGACATTTACTGTGTTTCCTCTGTAGGGTCCCTTGGGACAGCTGGTCGGGTGTGTAACCAAACCTCCCGCGGCATGGACAGCTGTGAGGTGATGTGCTGTGGGAGAGGCTACGACACCTCCCGCGTCAGCAGAATGACCAAATGCGAGTGCAAGTTCCACTGGTGTTGTGCTGTGCGCTGCCAGGACTGCCTAGAAGTGGTGGATATTCACACTTGCAAAGCACCGAAGAGCGCTGGCTGGATCTCCCGGACATAATGCACGGGCTGCTGATGCTGAGGACCACAGCCTTTTGTCCTTCCTGTTCCATGCAGGGAAGGACATCTGAGGTCTTCACTACTTTTATACCTGTTTTGCCTTTGTTGTTCATTGCACAGAAGTTGCTGAATAATTATTAGAAATGCTGCAGCATTTACTTTCCATTTCTGCATGACAGTGTTGCTGCAGACTTGTCTGTGCATAAACTGATGCAGCTCTGGAAGGACATACTTGCACCGGGACTCTTTCAACCACCATGTACCGCTCCTCCACTTGTCATCAGGAATACAGCAAGACACAAAAATGGGGCACCTCTTACCACCAGCAATTGCATAGGTTGAGCTTGCTCAAACATCTTCTGAAGGATCTTGGGCAGGTCACAGTTGTGCCCTGGATACAGAAGGGCACGGGAGTTTGAGCACTGGTTGGTGATTTCTCCATGAAAAAGAATTTGGGGCCAGGCTGGTGAAAGGCTTTACTGGAGGGGTGTTTGTTCATCCCTGGTGTACTGGAGTTTGCAGTAAGAAGGCCACCTGAGGCCACCCTGGCCACCACTAGCACACTGTGTCTTCCTGTGGGGCGGAAATTGGCCCACGGAATAAAACAAAGAAAATTGCAGGAGATATATTCAACCACAACACTTTCATAAACTGTTAAAGAATCAAAGCAAATGTCTTAGTTATATGTTTGTGAAAACTTGGCTTAAAAGCTTTTAAAAAATCATTAATATTAACTAGTGAGCTTTGGGGGCTTTTAGATCTCCAGGATCGAAGAGAAGAAATGGTTTTCTCAGCCTAGTGAGAGCTGGGTACAAGATGCTCAACTACCTAAGGATAAGATTTCCTCTTTTTCACATGCAGAATAAGTGGAAAAACATTTGCAAACAGTGATGGAGAAGGAAATGCCTTGTCTCAGTAATGATTTGGTTTCTAAAGAATTTATCAACTTCTGTCTTCTTTTAAATTTAATAAATCTTTAAAGTGTGTTTAAATGATACTTTCTATTCAGATGGGACTTCCAAATGAGATTTTTTCCTAAATACTTTCTACAAAAACTTATGCCTATAATTCAGAGTGCATCCACCTCCGATAGAGGCGGTTCCAGGTTGTGTCAGGTCCATATGCTGGGCTGAGATCAGCACAAAACAAGTTGCTGGGTAGATGTGCAGGCTCACAAGGCCCAGAAATTCTGCAACCTTGGTGGAGAGGAACTGGGTCAGAGAGGGACCAACTGCCTCTCCTCCAGGCAGAGGCCAGCAAATGAGCCAAGAGAAGGATGGGTTCTGTGCCAGTAAGTCTAATAAGGCTCTGTAAAAGCACCCATGAAGAGTAGAGGCAGGCAAGGTAATGAAAAAGTAATGTAAGAAAAGGAGGTTGAATGGGTGACAGAATGTATTGTAGATACAGGTGAAATTTCCATGTAGAAATGAAATAGACTGGAAGAACTCTAGTGGGTACAAACAGTGCAGGAAAAAGTAATATCCAAGTAACAAATCAAGGCAATAAAATGAGTAGTACTCTGGCTATGTTCTGGGGTTTTTTTGCTTTGTGGTTTTTTTTTTTTTTTTTTTTTTTTTTTGGGTTTGGGGGATGGGTTGTTTGTGGTTTTGTTTGGTTTTGTTGGTTTTGGTTTGTTTTGCTTTTTAACTATTTAGAAATAATGGGGTTTTGCACTCAGCAGTTTTGAGAGAGCAGTCATTTACATCTGCAAGGCTTTGGAAAAAGTTTGTATCATTAAAATGGGTAATTCATCTCCAGAAGGCACAGCTGGCATTAAAACATGAGGAGGATCCAGAAGGGTATTTATTTGGACAATAAAATAACGTTTTAGTTACTGTATGCGGCAATGGTCATGGCTAGAAGTAAGAATAATCACACTTCTGTCTATAAGCCAGCTGCTGGTGGGAACAGCCCTGCCAGCGTGTTGGTGCACGTGCAGTGGTGTGTGTGTTATGTACGTACACACGTGCAGCTCGGTGGTTATACTGCTGGCCCCATTACTGCTGGCAATTCTGGTTCTGGGCTGGATAAGGAAAATTTCATACCTAATTGTATTTGAAGGTGAGCTCCAAGGAAAATTTTTATTAGGGTTTCATTGTGAAATTAAATCTGCATGCAGTTCATAGCCTGAGCAATATCATACTTTAAGGCTTAAAGAATTTAAAAGCAGTATAATAATTTTTAATTTTTTAGTGCCACTTTTCTTGAAAGATTCAGGGAGACTTTGAGTAGTCTAAAAAATTTCCTGTGTAGTAAAGCTGAAAACATTTCAAAGTTCTGGAAAAAAAGAAAGCCTCATTCTTACAAGGGAATTTGTTCTAAGCAATGGAGTGAAAGGCAGTGAAGTCAGATCTTTTCTTAAATCTGTTATCTGGTTAATACTCCAGAAAACCAACCCACCTGAATTCTGCAGTACCAGGCAAAGTGTTTTGGGGTTACTGTATTAAAGGTGGAACTTTTATTCACCAATCTTGTCCTCCTGTACCAAGGTACATCTTACTCCAAATTTTCCCCCAGTCTCAAAGGCTGGTGGTTCCTAAAGGCTGGTCTCCTCGGGAAGATGGGGGCATTGAGTACCTTGGCCTTTTTGGTGTCCTTTGCCACCCCATCCAGCACCAGGCCCGTGCCAGGTGTGCAAAGCAGGATGACTTTCCCATTTCAGACGTGCCATATCAATAAACTGCCATGTGATGCCTCCACCAAACCCGCTTCACCAGAGAAAAACCAGAATATTTCACAGCATGGACAAATGTGTTAGTGCTGAGCTGGCCATTTATTTGATGATAGATTTTTCTGGGGTTTTTTGGGGATTTTTGAAGAGCTCAAAGTAGGTGTGTTACAACTGTAAGTATTTCTGCTACCTCTTCCATGAAAAAAAAAAGCACTCCCAGAAGCTATTGCTATTTCTTAGTGGCAAAAGACTCAGAGATGTAAATATTGCTAGGAAAGGCCCCTCTGTAACCTTCAGCTAATCAAGCAAAGAATAAAAATGGAGGGGAAAAAGAGGAAGCAAAAAAAGAAGAAACAGAAATCAGGCAAGGCAAATTAAATAATCCTGTATTTTGTTCTATGGAATAAATTTACTCATGTATTTAGTCATGAAGAGGAAACAGCTGTCCCTAGGTAGACACTTTAGTGTCAGAATAATGTTAGTTGAAGCAAAAGGTTGTAGGATTATTTTTTTAAATAGGCAGTCCAATTTTCTTGAGGGAGTTCCCTTTAATTTGCTGCATGAACTCAGAGTCTAGCAGCGCCCTAAAACGCTGTTAGCCTGCCAAGCTTTTTGGGATTACTCCCTCCCCACTATTTTCTTTTTTAACAAACTTTACCCTAAAAAGTGTGTAGAGCTGTTTTATGTGAAATCTCATTTAAAAATTGTAATTTTCTTTAATCATATGGAAAATAGGGAATGACTTAGGAATGGTGGTGTATGCTAGGGCATGTGGGCATTGAAACTTGAGAGATTGTTGGGTTTTTTTCCCTACAAAATTATCTAAACCCAATTTGTGCATCTCATTCTGACCTCCCATCCCTGCATAACCTTCTTTGCAGATGGAAATTAGAAACAAAATACTGCATTTGTGGTACTGTGTTGCAGAGCCGCTGAAGGGCAGCCAGCCTGGATGCCCAAACCACAACTGCTGATCCCGGCCTGCAGGCTCTGTGTCCAGCCTCTTGTGGGCATCAGTGTATGGTGGCAAGGGGGATGTTTGGGGATTAGTGACGAAGATCTGGATCAGGGGAAGGTGCTTCTCCTAGTTAAAAACAGCTCCTAATCCACCTTGGCAGCACAAAGTACACCAACACTTGCTGTTCTCCATGGCATTTGCCCTGCACTCTATGGAATGGCTACAGCCTTCATGCAGGAGATGGTTACTTTCAAGGGCAGAGGTGGTTTTGACATTACACACCAGACCATGCAGGTTTCCCCTGCCACTTCAAATGACAACAAATGAACTTGTGTTATTATCTGAAAGACAGCAGCAGCTCGTGGGCTATAATCACAAACAGGGTTTGGGGTTGGTTTTTTTTCATGTACCAGCTCATTTGCCTGCTCAAATGGGTACCACTTCATAAAGTAAGATCTCTTGTGTGAAAGTAGCAAAGGCACATGAACGAATACACTGACAGCACCCTCTGCAGGGGGAGCTGGGCAGGAGCCCTGAAGGAAGCTGGGTGGCAGCTGGGACCAGGGGCCACCTTGTTCACTTTGTAACCAGAGCCCTCAGGTTTTCAAGGTCTCCATGCAGTGGCAGCCACACTGCCTGTGGAGTGTGCCGTGAGTGAGAGGTGCAGCTTCCTTTGGGTGTTTAGCTTCTGCAGGTTTCTGCAACACAGCAAAACTCCTGGTAATTTTCTACTGAGGTAAGGACTTCTATGTTCTCCCACTGAAAAATCACAGTCTGAGTATTAAGCATTCACACAAAATGAAGAAGAGAAAGCAGCCCTCCCCTACCAGCGCAGTTCCTGCCCTGGAGAAGCTGTAAATCCATCCAGTGTAAGGGAGGGACAGAAGGTGGCCAGCTTGACTTACCTGATGCTCCTCGGGGGAGGAGGGTGTCCTCTCCTTTTTTGTTCTATGCAGATTACAGTGTAAAGAGATAATGTGCATCCAAATTCTATCAGGTTGGCTTTAAAGAAAAAAGGAACTAGCATTTGAATTTAAAAAGTCCTCCCGCCCTCCACCTCTAAATGTGCAAACTGAAGATTCAGATGAATTATTATCTGAAACAGATTTCCAGAAGGTTCATCTCTGCACTAAGCCAGAGGCTTTCCATCATTATAATTGTGGGTTGTATTTGCCTTTTCATCTAAGCCATGCTGAACTTCACAGGAAACATGTCAGAGGCAGCAAAGCCTAAGGCAACCAACTCTGCCCAATGGAAAAGAAAATCCTTTTGTTTGACTTGCCTAGTCTTCCAGATGCCTAGAATTATAATTAAATCTATAGAGAGATTTTCTAGATAAAATCCATGGCTCTTTACTGCTTATTAGGGAGATGGATACTAGAAATCGTAGAGACAGAATTGCATAAAGGTATTTTTGAGTTCCTAAATGTTCCCCATAGTTCAAGGGAAGGACGTGATTCTTCCAGGAGTTATGCATTTCTTTTTATCAGAGTATTACAGACAGTAATTCCCACACA